TAACCAAGAACAATGCCAAATATCCATTGAAACGAGTGAATCTGAAAACCATTTCTATCCCCAAAGGAATGTTTTCTCACACCCAAGACAATATTTTTCTGAGTCAGACATCTACCAGACTAGTGATTGGACTAAATAACTCTGTCGCCTTTAACTGTTCCTACATGACTAACTCATTCGATTTCCAACACTGCGGATTAACGTATCTAAACGTGAGTGTTGACGGTCGTAGTGTCTCCAGTAAACCCTTAACACCAGACTATAAAAATAATCGCTACGTGAAAGCTTTTTTGGGCACTATGTTGGCTATGGGCCTGGTGGGTAAAGATGCCGGTAACGATATTGACTACAGACATTATAAGAACGGGTACGCTCTTTACGCCTTTGACCTTTCACCTAGCCTGTTTGATGGGGACCAGTTTGAGATGCCTCGCTCCGGGGCGTTGTCTCTGGAATTTAAGTTCGCCACCTTCACATCCGAACCATTACATGTTATAGTCTACGCGGAACAAGATTCTGTACTTGAAATTTCCAAGACACGACAAGTACTTTTGAACTACGCCTAAGATCATGAACACGCAACAGAAACGCCAGATGCTCTTTGCTGACCACGTTGTCCGCCGAACACATATTGTAGAAGTATTGGCCCGTGATCAACTACATATACATTTTAACTGTCATAAGACAGCGGCGTTTGTCATCAATACGGATGGTAGCGACCAGCCGGGTTCGCACTGGCTTGGTCTGTACTGCGATGAGGTCGGGCGTTTTACCTATTTTGAAGCTCTCGGGCTCCCACCCTTCCACGCCGACATTATAAGATTCACTCAACCAGACCCTTCAGTTACAACCCTCCTACCTTACAAGACTTACAGAGCAGTACTTGTGGACTATACGTTATTTATTTTATACTGATTAAATGTCGCGGTGGTCGCCTACGCCGAGTTTTACAGCCGTGTTCGTCTTCGTATAGACAATACGTCAACGACCGAATCGTTTGGCGCCTCGTTTCCCCCCTAATCAGCAAAACAAGTCCGGACAAGTCGAGTTTAAACCGGTTCTACTAGCTCACGGTGGGTATATAAACAACTTGAGCAGCGACCATCTTCTTATCGCCGACGTCATACGCACACTGAAGATGTCTACAGTCACGACCAGTTGGGTGTACATGACTAGAAGCGACGAGGTGTTGAAACCTTTGGGCGCTGGCTTAAAAGCTGTTTCAGTCTTGCTTTATACAGGGACACCCGTCCTCCACTTGAGACGGTTCTTTGGCAAGGCAGATCTCAAATTTCTCACCAAAACGGGACTGATACTAAGTCGCCTAGAATTTGAGCAACTACTTAACCTAAAGACGGAGATCCTGACAGAGTTTGGTCGATTCGAGCTGCTTACCATTCCTTGTTACCCGCCTACAACCATAATTACAGAACCCTATGCTGAAGAAAACAGCCCCATCGACAACACGGACGAATATACACCGGATCATGTCATCCGACATATTGAGACTGTCGAGAACAACCGACCTGCTGCCTCTATAGGGGACTCGGTTCCTTGGCCACTTGCAAAGAGAAGATGTCTACGCCAACTTTATTTTTATGAATAAAAGAAATATAAAACGCAGAATATTGTTGTGTTGCTATATTTGTCTCAGTTATAAATATTGTATAGTTGTTATGTATATATCCACCTTTACAGGTACAGCCAGCTATCCACAGCTATCTTTTAGTCTCTAATTTATGAAACAGAAAGTAACCAAGGACACTAACTGTTTATGACGACGCGGATGATGATGACGATGGCGCCCAAGCCACACTTTCTCCCTGTCATAAAACCACCTGCCTAGGTTTCTTTATCTATCCCCTAAAATGGCCCCACGGGCGTGCGTGGGTGCGTGCGTGCGGGTGTATCCCGTTGATATGCAAAATACGATTTATACACAATATGTCTTTCCCCGCCCGGGAAAACGAGTCACGCGTGCCGTCATTAGCGTGCGTGTGGTTGCAACCACACGAAAATACCAACCACTTGTGCAGTCAGATGGCCGCCATCTTTTACTAAGGATAAAGAAGGCCGCTGAGCACAAAATCGATACAAATAATACCTCAAACACCGCCCCCTACTACTAATGGTCCGTTACGTTTAACGGTTTGTTCTCTAGCATGACACAGGCATGATCTCTCTGATTCTTTAATATATGTTTCTTTTCTCATAGCTTATTTGTAGTCATATTTGCGTTCTGTAGATGACAAATCGTTTGTTTTTCTTTGCATGTCCTTGTTATTTTTTTTACTCAACAGAACAATATCATCTGGGAAATCAAGATCTTCCATTTGTATATTCTCTACCCAATCAATGCCAGTTTTACCTTTATATTTTTTCGTTACATAATCAAAGGTTACTCCAAACAATAAAGGAGATGCTACCTTGTTTCACTCCGGTTTTCACCAAAAACCATTTACTTAGACCATTGTTAGTCCGCACTGCACATTCGGAACCATCGCATACATTTCAAATAATATGTATTATTTTTAGCTCGTATGCCGTAGCATTCCTAAATTTACCACAGTGAAATTCTATGTAAGCTGTCAAACGCCTTCTTTAAATTAATCAAATTCGGAATAAGAGTTGTTGCTTCTCAATGTGTTCTTCCAGAATAAGCCCCATGGTAATTAATTGATCCAGACAATTTCTTCCAGTTCGGCAATTAGCTTGTTCTTCTCTTGTCAATGTATCAACTGCCTCTTTAATTCGATTGAGGATTATTTTGCAAAATTCACAACATCCGCGCCAGAAATATTTTCCTCAGGCATCTCTCCATCTTTAAAGCCGACCCTGCCACCAGCACTATTTTTTCTTAACTTTCTCTAGTGGCCTACTGGCATGATCGTAACCTCAAGGACATTCTAGTTAAGAGTAGGTTACGCCCCGCGTCAGAGCCCCGCTTCGGCACAGTCTCTTGCCACAGACCTGTATGCAGAACCTGTCCATATGTGGTCCAGGTGGCTAGTCTAGAATTTCCTAACCACCTTCCACATACGTGAAGCATTCTATAGTACCAGCCGCAATGTCATTTATGCCATCAACTGCAAGAGATGTGGCATGAAATACATTGGTGAAACAGGTCTACGGCTGGCCGACAGATTCAAACAACATCTTTCGGATGTGCAAAATGGTGCTCTGAAATCAGTACCGTTGTACTTCAATTCCCAGGATCACCAAGGTGTCCTCGACATTGAGGTGACAGCCATTAAATCCAGCCATTCCAGCGACAGAGTCCGCAAGTCTCTTGAGAATCGCTTTATTTATACTCTAGGAACTGTAACACCCTCCGGACTGAATTGCCAACACAGTTTGATTTAAACTCCTAGGGAATTGAACTTCCCTCACAGTTTTATCCCCAACACCCCAGTTAGGGCCCCTGATATTCTACAGGGGGTATTTATTCCCCCAGCTGACACATGTAGTCATTCTGCTGAAAAACAACCAACCCCGCTGCTTCGAGATACCAGCTAAATGATTTTGTGTTTCTGTGTAGTGTTGTTTCATTTGTATGTGCTGAGGAAGTCTCAATAGTCGCAACGTTTACGTTATGTTTGTATTTGTTATATTGTAAAGCTTGCTTATATATTTTTTGTTCGGTTTTATATCTTGTCTATTGTTCTGGGACTATTTCTTCCTTCCATATTTTGTTAAAGAGTTCAAATATTTGTTGGATAGTTGTTTCATCTGCTCCTTTGAGCATTAACGGTGTAATAGTATCATCATCCTACGTCTCGTTATTTGCAAGGAAATGTAAAGCTATTTTTGATTTCCATAACATTAACCTGGCATTTTCTGCGAGTTTCTTTAGCTATATATATATATACCATGGATCAAGAGAAAGGGAAAAAAAGACATTCTAAACGAGTTGAACATCAAGGAGAACTGGCTCATAAACAGCATCCTGTCCTGGAAGTTGAAGTATTTTAACCACATCAAACGTCATGGTGACTTGGAAAAGACGGTGATGGTGGGTGCCGTTTGTGGAAGTCGATGCAGGGGTCGACCACCATGAAGATGAATACAAGACATTGAAGATGCATTGGCATTGAAAGCAGATTGGACCGGGTTGTGGCTAGGGAATAGGATACTATCAGGCGTGCCGTGAAGAGAGAGACTGTAAAGGACTGGTAGCTAAGTTGCATTGTACTTTATCTAAAAAATGTAATACGTTTTTGTGCAAACAGTGTCAGTAAACTATTGTATACAGTAATAACATCTTTGAGAACATTCATATTTTCAAGTAATGAAAAGCTATGTCAAATGTTAGTATGTTATTACCGTGGTTAATATCATACTAGGCAACTCATTGGTTTGTCCCAAGAGAGTGCACATTTCTGTCACGTCTTCTGTTATAGAAAACTCTTACATTAAAGAAAGACAGCGGAATTTTTATGTTTACTTCTTATGTTAAAACATTAGTTGCGTTTCCTTTACATGATTTTGCTGAACCAACCACAGCATTTTTTGGCTGTTGTGGTTTTTGTAGGCAAATTTACATCCAGTAGGTGTGTCCTTATGATGTTATAGTTAGTTGCGTTTCCTTTACAGGACGTTGCAAAACGAACCCCAGCATTTTAGGCTTTTATGGTTTTTATAGGCAAATGTTACGTCCAGTAGTTTGCCATTGCTTTCTAGACAGCTGGCTCTCGATACCACTGTCGAAACCAACGCAAGGCCCGCAGCTGTTATCGAACCCGGCACAAATCAGACGTGTAATAATTATAATAATAATAAAATAAAGTTTAGTTACAATTTAAAATATCATTGCATCATTCTTCTACTTCTGCCTTTTTAATACCCAATGGAGTATGGAACCTCAACTAACCCACGCCAGTTAGTTCTATCCTTCAACTTCGCATGAATTACATCATTGCAAAAGTAATATGATGTCGAAGAAAATTAAACTTTGGAGATATCTAAGTGCAGTAATATTTGTTTGTACATCCAACATACAGGTGACCCTGCTAGCTACATGCTTGACCATCACAGCCATGACTATTGACCGATATTTTGCCATCGTTCATCCAATCAAATCACTGCAGCGACGAACGCCAAAATCTACAGTTATTATATGCGTTGTTATTTGGCTTGGTAAGCTTTTGTGCTTTTTGTATAGTTTTGTTTGTTTTGTGAGGTCCTTATCTATATTACTGTACATGAGCATCCCTGTAGTCTTCTCTTACTATGATGCTGATTGTTAGCAGGACGCAATGTTGTTACTTCCCTCCAAGACAATTTGTAATTTTTTTTTTTCATTTAATTCTAGCTGGAAAGAAATCTTTAACTTGGCAAAAGAGACAAGATAAAGAAAGCCTCTCACCAGTGCTCCAAGATTTAAAGCAGGACGTACAGTTGTTTAGTTTAAAAAAAAGTAAAGGACCCTTTCCACGCCTTTAGGCGTATAGGGCATATAGGGCTAGGCCTATATTTTTAAAGACCAAAGGCATTAAATGGGCGATGTGGTCAGCATCACGCCGGCCGCTTCTACTTCCCGGGATTGCACCCGGTACCCACTCAAGGCTGGGTCGACCTGGGAGCCAAGGTCATTTTTGAAGAAAAGTCCGTCTCCGCCAGGGAGCGAACCCACGACCTTCCGATCCGCGGCGCGCGTCTAGCCGCTCTGCCACTGCGACTCCCTAGAGTTGTTACGTTCCCTATAAAAAATGAAGAAAAAAAATTATGCAAAATATAATAGGGGTACGTTCCCTATTATATTTTGTATAATTTTTCTTTTCCTTATATTCTAGCTGTTAAGAAATCTTTGTCTTGGCAAAAATCACAAGATAAAATATAAAGCCAAATACAGAGATAAAAGAAGCAGGTGATATCTGTAGCAATGACATTCGGCAAATCGGAATGCTGCCGAAAAAGCAGCAGCCACAAGTGAAATTCAAATCTTCCGCCATATTCCTTAAAGGCCAGAGCATCCGATCCAAACCCCATGGATCAGAATGGATCTAACAACATCAGGATTATTAGCTATAAAAACATAATTCAAAATCTGACGATCTAATTTAAGTGCACACCTGTTCCAAATATCGTGAAATGACCTCACAACCAATTTAGTTGACCTTATAACACTTTGGCGTTAAGAACAGTATACCATGAAGAAACTATGCGTGTATTGGTCATGTATCTATATACACGGATCAGATTATGTTGAGCTGCTTGACGAAAAGCTGAGAATAGCAAAGGAAAGTGTGTGTACACTTAACACTATAATTTAATTCTTTTAGCCCCAGACAGCGTTACTTAAGCTCGTTCTATCCGATGAGGTTTTTCTTTAAAACGAATCTATGTCGGAGTCTCACAGTTCAAAAAATAACATTACTGAACAAGGCTGTTTACCATAGCAAATGTAATGGAGTTGGCTGAAGTAACACATGGATAAACTAAAAAAAGTTAGAAAAATCATACGATGTTAAGAATATCTGAACATGATGCGTTCATTAATCTACAATAGGACATATATTACATTTTATCTCATAGAAAATATGAATCATACTGAAATATACAATAATGGAACAGTGGTGGTTACATTAACAACTATGACGGAGTTGGTTAAAGTCGCACATGCATGCACTATTTTTGGTCCCGAAAGGGATGAATTAATTTGAGTCCTCGTTTAGTATGCAATGTGTTTGGTCCCGCAAGAGATGAACTGATCTGAGTCCTCGTTTAGAATGCACTATGTTTGGTCCCGCAAGGGATGAACTGATCTGAGTCCTCGTTTAGTATGCACTATGTGTGGTCCCTGTTATCATTATTATTACTTCTCGTTCTTTTTAGGATGAAATTTTTCGTTTTTTGAAGCCCTACTCTGGTTTTGCCAGGGGCCGCAATATAGCCCTGCCATAAATATGGCCTAAAGGCTGAACGCGGTTTCTGGGACCTCTCCATGGTTATCCTCATCCACATGGTGGCACATTGTGTCATCGGGTGTTTATCGCTTGTGTGATGTCCTGGTGGGGTAGACAGTCAGTCAGTCAGTCTGTGGTCCATGCAGGGATGTATTCATTTGAGTCATCGGTTGGTATGCACTTTTTTGGTCCCTCAGGGATCACGACGTTTTTGTTTTTATTAACCGCAAGTCCTGATTGTTCGGTCTCTTGCAATTCGTACTGAGTGAGTTTTATTGTATTGTATTAATTTGCCACTCGTACCTACCAGCGTCTAATTATTAATAATAACTTAAACAAAGTATAGGCAACTTGAAGGCTCCCAATCAGAATATGTGTAAGAAGGGGATTAAGGCACCCCTCCCACCTCCTTCTCCCACCCCCACCCCCCGCTTCCCACAAGGTTTTTCTTTGTGTTTGGGCCAGGCCTCTAATTCTAGAGAATATCAATACCAATATTGTGCCGACTGGTAATAAACAAATTAAAAAAAAAAATATATATATGTATATTTGAAATCAAGTGCAATGTTTACAAAAAATACTTTTAACGAGAATTATATACATGGTAAAATGGGGGCCGCAGAGCCTTATAATATAAAACTATTGGTAAAAAAGTTCCCCACCCTCTTCCTCCATGTTAGGTACCCTGGAGGGGGTGGGGGGCTGATGTTGCCTAAGCCCTAGTTTTGACGCCCCCAGGTGGTTCTCCGGATAGTTTTGTATTTGTATTGAAGCAACAACTGTCTGATACTCAGACGGATTAAAACTCTGTTGTCCTGCACTATTATCTTGTAAGGGATGTGACATAAAGTACATCAAAGAGCCCGAGAAACGTCCAGAGGACAGATTGGGAAAAAATCCTAGAGCCATCACGCAACACTCCGACAAACCTATTTCTTTCTAATAACTTTAATTCATTACGCCAAACGGCATCAATTATTTGCGTGTCACTGCTGTCAAAGTATTTCTCTGAGAGCTTTGCAGCATTGAGAATAGAAAGCCACTTAAATATGTCTTTGGGATTTGCCCATCCTATCGGAATTAATACGGTCGTGGACATCTCAGTCACGAAATGTATGTCTTACTTTCTGAGACTCCCATTTAGCTACACATTTCGTTAGTTTTCATTTATTGTTAGAATATCAGAAAACTCACGTGTGTGTGCGTGTGTATGTGTGCATGTGTGCGCGCGTGCGTGTTTCTCAATTTAAGATCCATTAATTCTTTGTCCCACAAGATTTCTTAGCTGCGAAAAATCGGAAGTCGGAATAGGAAATCCCATCCCAACACACATAGACATCCAATCCCAACACGGGACTGCATGCTACTTTATAACTGTATAAGTGTCCTGTTCGTTAAGGTTGAGCGTGATTTCTGTGATTTGTTCCTGTTTGCATGACCTACGTATGTTTGCAAACAGGGTGGGAAAAGTTTGGCGAGAAGTAAAAGTTGTCACTAAGGGAGTCAGATTAATATTGTGTTCTGTTACTTAGTATAAATTGTACGGTAACATACTATACGATGGTGGGACTCAATGGGAAGAGTCAGTCACACAACGATGGTTGCTCGGGAAGAAAAAGTGTAAAGAAAAAAAAAATAAAGCACACCAGTACTACAGCATGTCACTGCCATAATAAGATGATTACAACTGTTAAGATTGTGAGCTTGGTACTTGAAATTTGCCTTGTCTAATTGACATTTAGCCACTTTTAAAGACGCCGCTCTTTAAATCGTCGAATATATCAATACAGCATGAAAAGAATCATATTGCATATTGGGGGGGGGGGGGGGTGAAAATATGATCTGGCCGATACTTTACAGTGAGAGCGACAACGGGATCTGGCCAATATTCTACAGTGAGAGCTACAACGGGATCTGGCCGATACTTTACAGTGAGAGCTACAACGGGATCTGGCCAATATTCTACAGTGAGAGCTACAACGGGATCTGGCCAATATTCTACAGTGAGAGCGACATCGAGATCTGGCCGATACTTTACAGTGAGAGCTACAACAGGATCTGGCCGTTACTCTACAGTGAGAGCTACAACGGGATCTGGCCGTTACTCTACAGTGAGAGCTACAACGGGATCTGGCCGTTACTCTACAGTGAGAGCTACAACGGGATCTGGCCGTTACTTTACAGTGAGAGCTACAACGGGATCTGGCCGTTGCTCTACAGTGAGAGCTACAACGGGATCTGGCTGATACTTTACAGTGAGAGCGACAACGGGATCTGGCCAATATTCTACAGTGAGAGCGACAACGGGATCTGGCCGTTACTCTACAGTGAGAGCGACAACGGGATCTGGCCGTTACTCTACAGTGAGAGCGACAAGGGGATCTGGCCGATACTCTACAGTGAGAGCGACAACGGAGTCTGGCCGATACTCTACAGTGATAGCGACAACGGAATCTGGCCGATACTCTACAGTGAGAGCGACAACGGGGTCTGGCCGATACTCCAACAGTGAGAGTGACTACGGGATCTGGCCGTTACTCTACAGTGAGAGCGACAACGGGATTTGGCCGATACTCTACAGTGGGAGCGACAACGGGGTCTGGTCGATACTCTACAGTGAGAGAAACGGATCAATGGATATGTAATAAGACTGTTACACATATCATCTACACTGACATTGTTCGCTTGCTGCTGAAGATAAAGACAAAACGCACGTGGGAGTGTGCTGAGTGCTGTGATGTATGTTCCTAACCCGACTCAAGTCAGCTCAGAGCCCCCTCCCCCCCCCCCCTTTTTTTCCCCAAATAGTGCAGTTTTGCAAAATATATACATTATTTCAGTTGTTCTTGTATTTCTGAACAAAGAAGACAAATACAATAGACCACAATTTACTGCTTGTCATTAATCACAGGTGTCTTTCGCCGTATCTCCTCGGGTGTATACTACAGAAACAGTTGAATAAAATAAAAGCAATGAGTCTTTTGCAACAGAATTAGATACTCAGCCACTTTTTAAAGGTAAATTCCTATTTTACAATTGCAAGCGCAGTTTCAGGACCACATCTTTGTGTTCGCACAAATCTGGACGTAATGGATTTATCGTTCCGCTTCCAGAAACCGATAAACTCTGCTTTTACTCGACGTATGGGAGCCGCCGTTGTCTAGCGGCTAAATGGTCACGTGCGGATCGAAAGGTCGTGGCTCCCAGGTCGACCCAACCTTCAGTGGGTACCAGATACAGTGTTAGGAAGTAAAGGGGGTCGGCTTGATGCTGACGACATCACCCCCTCCCCAAATTGCCGTTTGGTCTATAAAATATAGATGTAGCCCTATATATCCAGTTCCCATAAAGACGTGTAAAAGGGTTCTTTACTTACTTTATTTGACGTATAATTCAGAGCGCGTAGCTTTTGTTTACAATGTGACGCGAGTTCACAAGGTGGTGCGCACTGAACACTAAGGGATGTCTTTTCTACTAGTGAAACATGTGTGGTTTTCTGTGTTAAGATGTTTTAAATGGGGGAATATTGTTTTTAATCTCTTGTTTTGTTTCAACAGTTTCCCTGACTGTCTGTGTTCCCTTTTTGATGTTCCATGAAGTGCAGCAGATAATGATGTTCGCCTTGACGACGGTCTGTCTAGCTCACTGGCCTCCAGGCTGGGAGAAGGTTGCCTCCCTCCTGGTAGTGCTCATCACATACGTCATCCCACTTTTCATCATCGTCGTCTGCTACACTCTCATTCTGAAGTTTCTCTGGAGCCACAGGATAAACACACATTCAGAATTAAATGTAAGTATTTAGACTGCAGTGAAGCAGATATGGGGCAATGGTTAGAGGCTTCCCTGCCAGTCAGAAAACATTGGCTAAATTTAAAAACAAAATGACTATGGCTTTAGATTGACCCAACCAAGTAATGTCCTTGGAAGTAAAGACGACCAACATAACCTTTCGAGCATCGATTGATCTGTACAAATGTTGTTCTAATGTCATTTACTTTATGCACCAATAGCGTGGAAAAACCCTAAACTTACTTTACTTATTTCCCTCGTGTGGATTTATGGGGAAAACAAGAATAGACCCACTGCCTTCCCAACAAATGTCGTAGGAATCGATTAATTGGGGACATCCTTCGAAGTCTGAGTGCATCTGCTCGAGTGGTCAGGAACATCCAGATGCACACAAAAAAGCCGGTAAAACTATGTACACGTAAAACTCAGACCCTGGCACAAAGCCAAAGTCCAAATGGACGAACAACCAGAACTTTCCACTGACCTTTCTTTATTTCTGTATCTCTCTAAGTTCCAGTGTAAGGCCTTTCTAGTCAATATTGTTCCTGCATTACGCATCGCGTCATAAACGACGTCAACGCCAACACCATAAACATTAAACAGTTTTAAAACTGTGGTTTTTGGAGACAAAATAATGTCTACTATGCATTACACACGGACAGAAACTCAGCAATCGGTCGGTTTGTATTTAGGAGGAGGAGATCACGTTATCTGGAGAAACAATATCCAAAAACTCGTTACGACTCGTAACCCTTATAGGAAAATAAGTAATGGAGAAAACTAGATGTAGATAGACATCGTTATAAATATTGTTATGAAAATTCTTTAATTACTTGTATAGTTTCTCAACATTACCCCAATCATTTCCATCATGTGAATTACCTGTAAGCGTAGGCTGTCTTAATTTTAATCTCAATCACCACAGTCTTTCTATGTGTCTATGTCTGGCGTGCTGCTCATCCACCCACCCACCTGTCTGTCTGTCATTCTGTCTGTCTGGCAGAATGTTACCCTGGTCTGCATAACCAATTCTTAATCTTTTGAAAATAACGTTTGTTTGCTCGTTCCTTCTATATACTTGCTTGTATATGACTGTGTTGACCAACTTCAAATCTTGGTGTGTTTTTTAAACATCTCTATATAAAATCTTTGTAAATATTGATATCTATGTCTTAGATATTAATCAAATTAATATATTGTCTACTCTTTTTCACAGCACAACTCGGACATCACAGAGCCAGTGATGGGCGACGGTACAATTGTTGCACGCAGAAGAAGAAAAGTTGCCAAAATCGTTGCAGCAGTGGTCATCCTGTTTGCAGTCACATGGTTGCCAATTCATTTGTTCAACTTGTGCTTCAACTTTATGTCAGACTTTCCCATGAACCAGACAATGTACAATCTGAAGATCTTTGCCCATACATTGTCTTATATCAACAGTTGTGTGAACCCGTTTGTTTACACCATCATGGGAGACAATTTTCGGAAGGCTTTCATGGAATGCATTTGTGGGAAGAGCTCGCCTTCTATAACTTTACATCATGGGTACTCAAAACGTACAGGTAGTATCCTGGAGACTCGCTTCAATGGAGAGTGAAAGATGGAAGACGAGAGAGCAAGCGGTGGGCAACTATACAAGTGGAAGGATAACATCAAGAGATGGACGGGCAGCAGTCTGGATGAGTGTACACCGAGGACAATAGACCGAACGTGTTGTAGATACATTGCAGCCAATCTTCACTGTGGCAGAGTGATTGGTTGAAATGATTGCAACTGGATTCAGTGGGAAATGATGACGACGTGGTTTCTTCTACTGAGTGGAAAGCATCGTGTATCACTAAATTGGGAAGTGAAATCTGTGTGAAAAATTTTTTCCTTGAAAGTGAATTGACCATATCTTGCTTCAATGGAAAACAAATTCACGTCGATTGGCATTAATGAGAAGTGAATTCAAGATAACTGACTTAAATGTCGATTGTTTTTAACGTGTCCAATTCCATTCTGAGTGAGATCGATGTAACGTGCTTGGGTGGAGAAATAATTCATCATGGTTGACCTAAACTGGAAGTAAATTCATGTTGAGTCACTTAACTTGGATGAGAACTCGACGTGATTTGTCCCATTCGGCGTGAATTCGTCATGATTCTATTTAGCTGATAGTGTATTTAATATGATGAGGAGTGAGCTCAGGATATCTTGTTGCAATGGGCATACGTATTCGACGTGTGCTGTTCGATTTTAAAGTTATTCGCCATTTAAATGGCATGTAAACATAATATGAGTCCATTTGTGTTTATTTTTATTGGCTATTTTGCAGTTTCCTTCGAAGTCATATGTACACAACTATACAATTTCAAGATATCTGTGTCGGGATGGGGTAGTACGCAAGTAATTCTAGTCGAAAGCTTTATTGAATGTAAATTTATAGAGCTACAATCGTTGCCATCTAGACATCAGATACCTGTACTCTATCAGATGTGCAATATGATTTTACACATACTCTGTCCTGCATCAACAGTTGCAATTTTCGAAAGGTATCTAAGCTGTGGGATGAGTTCTCTTTCTGTAACGTTACACCCTGGGTACACCAGATGTGCAGGGACTATCATGGAGACTGGCTTCAAAGAGGAGCAAATTCATCTTGACTTGTTTTACAATAGAGTGAAGTTGAAGAGATCTGTGGCATTGAAAGTGGGCATGACTCGCGTCATTTGGAAGTAATAAGACAAGTGAAATCGACATGGAAAGGGGGGGGGGGGTTGAATTCAGGATGAGTCATGACATTATAATAAAGGTAAATAGTCGCTCTCGTCCCCCTGGAAGTGAAATTGTCTCTTCAAATAGGATTTTAAAATGGCAATGAATGGATCATGAATCGATACAACTGTATGTATATATGTAAGTTGTACCCCACCAGGACATCACAGCAAAGTGATAAACACCCGGTAACACAAAGTGCCACCATGCGGATGAGGATCACCCGTGGAGAGGTCTCAGAAACCATATTCAGCCGTTAGGCTATATTTAGGGCTGCCAGCAAAAGGAAGAGTGGTTCTACAAATAACAAATTATTTGCAGCCCACATGGTGACGGCATAATAATAATTCAACTGGGAGTGAGTTATCCTTTATATTCTGCAGCTCGTTTTAAGTTATATGGACACAACTAGATAATTCCAGTTGATTTTTATGGAAAATCCACTATGCAGTTAAGTTCAGTTCGTGGCTATTTCACATTAAAATCGGTCATTTCTTTTAATCGTATGGACTTCAGAAGCATAGTCGCTATCAGAAGCTGAACATTAACATCTAATTGGAGTGACCAGACACTCACTTCACAGGGGAGTGAATTCAGCTTAATAGCTTTAATTAAGTTTTTTAAAAACTTTTTTTTTACGTCATTTGTGCTGCTGAAATTGAATTCGTCAAGTATGCCTTTAACTTTCGGTGAATTCGTCATGACTCCCCCCGACAGGAAGTAAATTCATTATGATTCCATTAACTCAAACAGGAATTGAACGCATCACAACCCCTCCAACGGGGGTGACTTCCCCAAGTGTCCCTTTAATTGTGATTGAATTTTTAAAGTCTCCATTCGAAAGGGAATAATTTTGGTACCTCTCCCTTTAAAGGGGGTGAATTATGAGTTTATTCAGTTAGAAGTGAATTCATCACAACCCCTTTCAAATATGTAAATACACCTTGCTTCGCTTCAATGACATTAGATCTGTTCATAGCCTATTATGCCTTCATGATGACTCATCAAAACAACAAATGTGTGACTCCAACAGTCACATTATCTGTGCTTAATTTACTTGAGTCAATTATAATTTTTCGGTGTAAAACTGTAAATAAAGTTGCAGCCATTTGGACCTCAGATGCAGGTCCGCGACGATGTTACTCTATTAGGCTTTGCTAAATAACTGTTATATTTTGCGATAATGCCTGAATATCCCAAATCCTCTCCCACCCCCTCTCTCTTTCTCTCTGACTGACAGCATTTTTTTATATTAGAGATTTAATAAAAGATAATGACAGAGTTTAAAGAAACATAAATTTAAAGAAAAAAAAAATTATTAATAATAAAAAATGAAAATGCTCCCAGCATTTTCGACAAGGTCAGAAAAGTACTGACATATAGAGAGTTAAACTATATGTACGCTATAATATTCTATGTCCACTTAACCATGCTGTATAGGGGCAAACACATGAACAAGGAGTAAGCAATCAGAATATCCACTTCTTTTTCTCTTTTTTCCTCGCGTTCACCGGCTGTAAACTCTGGCAGGAAATTCTAGTTACTCATCCACCTCTGAACTTTGGTCTTGTTCCAGAAACTGAGTATTGCGTGCACATCCGTTTAACAGATATGTCTTATTATGTTTTAAGATTTGTGGTTCCTTGCCTCCTAGGCTGATGCACTCTGACTTCAAAGAAAATTTACTACGACATGCTTGTTTAGAAGGCAGCGAGTCTGTTCTTCTTATCCCCCAAAAAAAGACCGCCGAACCCACACAGGGATAACTGGAATATAGAATGGGTTCTTAAATGTGGATATACAGAAGTCCTATTTGTCAAACAACAAAATGATGATGATAATGATGACTACGACTGATGATAGTAGTGATTCAGTTGATGTGACATGAAAACCTATTGAATTGCTTTAATATGTTTGGTGTAAGATGACATACTTCTGCTTTTAGTATTTTAGATGGTGTAATGCATAAGTTGGATTTAGTACTCGATGCTATACTATACACGTGTGTTTAAAGTACTAGATGTAAGTACTCGATGTGATAGAGTATAAATGTATTATCTTAAGCACTAGTGTTGCTACTATGAAGTGTCTTTTAAATGCTAGGTGTCACATAACTTCGTTGGCAGCGGATTTATAATATTGTAATATTCGTAGGAATGCTTTGGTATTCATGTATATTCACAATTTCTGTTGTTGTTTTTGTTTTAATGCTATAAATCATGTCTGATATATGTCTGTTCTTAAATGCAGTGAAGCCAGATTGTTAAATCTTGTCTTTCGGTCTGTGTTCATGTTTATTCGACAGATCAACATCACACGGGTGTAACCGATAAGTGCTCAAGTTCAACTTCTAACTCAATAATTACTAAACAAAGTCGTCCACATGTGGGACGCAATTTTTCGTTATTATGAAGCCCTTTTTCCTTGCACCGGCAAGGATCCTGAAATACTTTAGGTAGATTTCTAACTCCAAATTTTGCCCGAGCAGCGTCGTTAGGCTTCTATTTTCGATTTTTAACTGCCAAGCGATTTTTACGTGCGTCCGATTTTACTACGCAGAGACCAGGGAAAATTACTAGAAGTCCACGTTAAAAAATCCCAGCCTTTCCCAGGGCTTGAACTCGAGCACCATAATTCGTACACCATAATTCGAGACCACTCAGCACCGGTCGGTCTCTGCCTCTCTTTTCCTCCAGTTTTGTTGTTGTCGTAACACAGTCTATTTGTTTTATTACATCAGATCCTGTCCAGAAAAATGTATACTACTTCTGGTACGAATAATCAGTTGTCTGTGATAGTTTAAAGACCTCATATTAACATTTTTTTTTATCTATTCGTAATGTCCTGAACATTCTTCATCAGTCGTTGAATGGGTGGGGGGGGGGGGAGGGGTGTAAAGAGACCCATTCTCCTTAACCATTTCGTGAAAGGTTATTTTTTAAGGCTTAGTTTAAATAAGATGTGTTGGTGGAAAGGCGCAGACATAACAGCCAGGCTATAGACCACATCGTAACCAGCCAACAACCCAACTGAGTAAAACGGAGAAGAAAAAGACACAATTTTTCAGTAGCTCCCGTAGAAATGTGCAGGAATCTGTTGTATGTCGACGATTTACTTCCAAACATCAGGATTGGCTCTAAAAAACTCTCAAGAACTCTCTTTTTCACCCCCATCCTTAAGCCTTAACCCGTTGCTAAGAAAGAAGCCATCGATTAGGCGAAGCCAGTAAAACAGTTTCGACAACCGACGGGAAACGCATTTTATCATTTGACAAGTGAGTTGGTCAATCAGCTTACAAACAAATGCAATTAGAGAGAGAACATCAGACACGGGTTGCGAGAGCTGACTGCAAAAAGAGCTGGTAAAGGTACAAGTCAGTTGCGACAGTCAATCAGCTACACAGTCACTGAAAATGATTAGAGAGTCAACAAGAGTAACATGTTATTATTAACCAATAAGTATACAATATAGTAGAATTTTAATTGATTTAATTGTAAAAAAGCAAAATCCAGAACCTCCCGTTGCCGTCCCAATACAGGACGTAATTTTTCAATATTAAAATGCCCTACTCGGCTTTTGTCGGGGGCCCTAATATAACATAACGGTTGAACGGGCTTTCTGAATCTTGTGATCGTGTGATAGGCATTCGAATAGCGGCACTTTGTGCCACCGGGTGTTTATCGCTCGTTATGTGGTTTGTGGTGGGGTTGAACTCCATCATTATCATAGCAAAATCCATTGATGAACCTCTCCCTTAATGGGACAAAATGTTTGGTTATTTTAATCACCCCTCTCCGTTGTCGTCAGATAATCGGTGACCGCCCACTGCTGGCAAGTAGA